TGCTCCTTTAGGCTAGCTGATTTTTTTTTTTTTAAGTAGGCTTCATGCCCAGCACAGAGCCCATTGTGGGTCTTGATCTCATGACCCTGAGATCAAGACCTGAGCTGGGACCAAGAGTCAGACACTTAACCAACTGAGCTACCCAGGCACCCTTGCATCTTTTAGAATTTATTCTGATATATTATTATTGTTTTGTATTACTTTTTATTTTTATCTTTTTATACCTATGCGGTCATCATGCATCTCCTTGTCAGAAGGAGCTTTACCTTTAAGATCTAGCTCAGTGCCTAGCACATAGTAAACATGCAACTAATATTTTCTGACTCCCTGACTTGGTGAATAATGGCTGCTTAGCAATTTTAGTAAATGAAATTTACCTTTGAATTTTAGCAATTCTAAACTCATTCATGTTATTTAAATACATTTCAATAAATATAAACTTTGTATTAAAATTTATCAAAAATAAAAGTTAAAGAATAAGCATGCCATAATTCATATTTATTAGGCTCTTAAAATTATTTTTAAAAATTGTAATTCTTTATGTACTGTGCTGAATATATTAATAAAGACTTTGAGGGGCACCTGGGTGGCTCAGTCGGTTAAGTGTCTGACTTCAGCTCAGGTCATGATCTTGTGGTTTGTGAGTTCAAGCCCAGCATTGGGCTCTGTGCTGACAGCTCAGAGCCTGGAGCCTCCTTCAGATTCTGCGTCTCCCCCTCTTTCTACTCCCCTCCCCATGCTCATGCTCTGTCTCTCTCTGTCTCTCAGTAATAAATAAAAACCTTAAAAAATTTTAAAAAAGTCTTTGAATATACTTTAAAAGTTTTATCATTTAAAGCTTACTTCAATATGATGAATTTAAAATACCAAACTTGAAAAAAATAGGCAAAAGGGAAAGAATGTGTGTTACTATCATGTATTAGTTGTCTCAGGGCTGCTGTAACAAATTACCACACTTAAAACAATAGAAACTTATTCTCATGGTTTTTGGGATGCAAGGTGCTGGTAAGGCCATGCTCTCCCTAAAGGCTCTAGGGAAGATTCCCTTCCTGACTTTTCTAGCTTCTGGTGGTTACCAACAATCCTTGGCATTCCTTGGTTTGTGCAGTGTACGTCCAATCTGTCTCTGTCTTCATGCGGCTTTCTTCCTCATGTGGCTGTTTGTCTCCAAATGTTTCTCCTTTAAGGGCACCAGTCCATTGCTGATAGACATTAAAGAAGACCTAAATAAATGGAAAATATATAATGTTCATGGATCAGAGGACTAATGTTATCCACTCTTCTTTAAGTGGTCTACAGAATCAATGCAATTGCAGTCAAAATCTCAATAAAAATTGTTTTTGTAGACATTGCCAGGCTGATTCTAAAATTTACATGGAAATGCAGAGAATTGAAAATGACAAAAGAATTTTTAAAATGATCACTATCTGTTTTCAAGAGTTATTAGAAAAGCTGCAGTAAGACTGTGGTATTAAAGAAAAGCAAACAGATCAATGGAATAGGATACAGTAAAAAATGGACTAATGGCGAATTGATTTTTGACAAAAGTACAAAGACGAGTCAATGGAGAAAGGTTGGTCTTTTTAATAATGGTGCTAGAAAAATTTGATGTTGATGTGCAAAAAAGAGAACTTTGATTTAAAAATTTAAATTAATCATAGGCCTAAATGCAAAGCCTGAAAGTATAAAATTTTTAGAAGAAAACGTAGAAGATAACTTCTGTGACCTCAGATTAGGCAAAGATTTCTTTGATTCAACACCAATATTATAATCAATATTAGAATAAAGTTGAATAACTGGATTCTTCAAAATTATGTACTTCTGCTCTCTGACAGACCGTTAAAATGAAAATACAGGCCAGGGCTCCTGAGTGGCTCAGTAGGTTGAGCGTCTGACTTTGGCTCAGGTCATGGTCTCACAGTTTGTGGGTTTGAGCCCTGTGTGGGGCTCTGTGCTGACAGCTCAGAGCCTGGAGCCTGCTTTGCATTCTGTGTCTCTCTTTCTGCCCCTCCCCTGTTTGTGCATGTGTATGCTCTCTCTCTCTTTCTCTCAAATATAAATAAACATTAAAAATTTTTTTTTAAAAATGAAAATACAAGCCACAGACTGGCAGAAGTTATTTTATAAATTGTATAGGAAATATACAAAGAGCTCTCAAAACCCAAGGATAATACAACTAATAATGCAATAAAAATGAGCAGGGGCGCCTGGGTCACTCAGTCCGTTAAGCATCTGACTCTTGATTTCGACTCAGGTCATAATCTCAGGGTTCATGAATTTGAGCCCCACATCAGGCTTTGAGTTTACAGCTTGGAACCTGCTTGGGATTCTGTCTCTACCTGTCTCTCTGCCCCTCGTCATGCTCTCTCGCTGTCTCTCTTTCTCTAATAAATTAAAAAAAAAAATTAGCAAAAGATTTGAATAACATTTTACCGAAGAAGATATACAGAGACCAAATAAGCACATAAAAATATGCTCATCATTAGTGATTACTCCACAATGAGAGCCATAATTACAACATCAGTAGTCATTAACCCACTCTAAGACACCTATTGGTCTGACTAAAATTTAAGAGTATTGATAATAATATGAAGCAACTAGGACTCATAATGTTGCGGGCATGGAAAATAGAAACACTATTTTGGAAAACAGTTTAGTAGTTCCTTAAAAAGTTAAACATTCATATTCCTTACGGCTTAGCTATTCCACTTCTAAGTTTTTTTCCCCAAAACTAATGAAAGCATACGTCCACATAAAGACTTATACATAAATATTCATGGCAGTTTTGTTTGTAATAGCCCAAATCTGGAAAAAACTAAAATGTCCACTAATGTGTGAACGGGTAATCAATTTATGGCACATCTATACAATTGAATACTAGTCAACAATAAAAAAGAAGTGCACTATTGATGCACTCAATAAAGTGGATAGGTTTCAAAAGAATTTTGCTTAATGGATGAAACCACACAAAAAAGAGTACATGTTATATGATTCCATATATATATGGAATATATATGATTCCATATATATTCAAAATTCTTTTGAATTATATATATATATACATATATATAATTATAAAAAATGCAAACAGCCATAGTGATATAAAGAAGACCAGTGGTTGCCTGGAAGGTTGTTTTTAGTGGTAAAAGGAGGGACTGCTTACCAAGGAGATATGAGAAAACTTCTGGGGTGATGGAATGGCTTATTATTTTTATTGTGGTGATGGCTTCATGGGAGTATGTATGCATCAAAGTTTATTAAAAGTCATCCTTTAAATATGTGCAGTTTATTATATATCAGTTATAGGTCAAGAAAGTGGAAAAAATAAAGAAGTAAAGGACCTTTGGCTGGGTGCTATTTTAAAGTTCTCAACTTTTATTTCTTCTGTAGACTTCTGTGAGATGAAACCTGGTTACCTTAGAATACACGTAGATCTCGTCCTCCAAAGTAATTTTGGGCAGCATATGAGAAATGTCTGAAGTTTTCGGACATTTCCAAATAGGAATACACTACAGGTTTAATCTGTGATGGGAAAAGAGAAACAGAGAACTTGTGGATTTAAGGGATGGAAAGGGGTGGGTTGGGAGATCAGAAAAAGGAAACCAAGGCTGAAACGCAGGAAGGATCTTGACAGAGGAAGAGGCAAGACTGCGCCTACACGTCCTCACGGGCAGCTGTACAGATTCTCCGGGCAGGTGGCTCCCAGCGGATTAAAATGTTACAACGTATGGCTCGTTCTCAACCACGAAAGCAGCTCCTTTCGGAGTTAGTCCTGCCAGCTGGAAACTCCGTGCTGGGCGCGCAGAGGAGGCGGACGGACACCAGCCCGGGCTCCCCGCTTCTTTACCTGAAGCCGCGTCCAGCTCTCCGTCGCCCCCTGGTGGCGAGTGTCCGGGGACCCGCAGGCGCACGGGTAAGGCGGGAGGAAAGGTGCGGCCAATGAGGTCCCGGCGCTCGAGCGGAGCCGCGGGTACCTCCCGAGGCTTTGACCGCTTGGGCATTCTGGCACCAGTATGGCTGCCACAGAATCCGGTTTCCCAAATGCAGCGCTCGCTCCGTCTCCTCGCTGCTGGCGTCCGTCCAGTTTCATTCGGGTCTTACTGGGTGGGAGTCGGGGTGAGGGAGCTGCATTACCTTGTTGTGACCTCCAGGTTTCAGGGCAGAACTTTTCATGGGTTTGGAAACGAGGGGCTGCAGAAGAGCCCTGGCTATAGGAGGACTGTCCCCATGAGACCCCCATGTTCCGAGGAACTGAGGGAAGACGGAAACTAGATGGCCCGCTTCCATCCCAAATACTTTTCCTCCCCAAATTAGAGTCCATCCTATTCCCGCCTTGTCCCGGATACTGATATGTCACTTTACCACCGCGTACGAAACGCTGGAGATCGTCGTCCTGCGCCCACTGTCCCCAACCCTCCCGTGGCCGAGGGTGGGCAGTCCGCAAGGCGGGGACCCGCTCTTCGGCCCGAGGGCAAGGGCCTCCATGGGCTTCGAGGGTGCGGGGAGGGTGCGCAGGGCGGGGAGCGGTGGACGCTACGGTGAGGGAGTTAGGAACGGGCGGAGGCGCCCGTACCTGCAGCTCCCAGCTCAGGCGGGCGAGCTGCGTGACAGTCCCGTCCACACCTGATTGACAGGAGGCGGGAGTCGCGGCCCGGGAGGCGGGAGTGGGTGTGCAGGGGCGGAGCCGGCCCGGGCGCGCGCTCCTAGACGGTTGAGGTCTGGTGTCTTGCCCGGACCCCGCCAGGTGGCCCGCCGGCTCTTCGGAGCCTGACACCCGGAGCGTGGAGAGCCTCCCGGAGTGTCCCCTGCTGGGGCCTGCTGCCTGCAAGGAGGGGGCAGGGCAGCCCGGAGCCCCGTGCGCCGCTTCCCCGGCGGCCTCGGCCTGGGCCGGGACTGGCTCGCGCTTCCCTCGCGGCTCTGCGCGGGTCCGCCTGCCCCTCCCTCCCCCTTCCCGCGAGCTGCCTCCGCCCTCCTTCCTCTGCCTCCACCCTCCACCCCCATCCCCGTCTGTCGGGAACTGGGCTCGGAGCCCTCAGTCGGCCCGAGCTCTGGATGTGGGCGCCGGACAAGTCCGCGGCGCCTCCGCCCAAGATGGACAGCCGCTACACCAGCACTGCGGGCATCGGGGACTTGAACCAGCTGAGCGCGGCCATCCCGGCCACGCGGGTGGAGGTGTCGGTGTCCTGCAGGTGAGGACGCAGCCCCTCCCCGCCCTCCCCCTGCTCTCCGGTTTGCCTGGTGGGTAGCGCTTGCCGTGCGCGCGGGGTACCCCGAGGCTTCGCTGGGGTGAGAAGTTGCGCGACGCGTGGGAAACACCCCAGCTCCAGTGACACGGAGCGGAGAGCGGGAACGAGGAGCGAGTGGTGGGCTCCGGAACGGAGACTTTTAATTTTCTTTCTGGGAAATGCGGTAAAAGTTGGCTGGGCTGTGACTCAGCGGCAGGAACCCCGGCCGCCGCCCACTTTGCAAACCCTTTTTTACGTTCCAGACCCGAGCTGTGTGGTTGGGTGATGACGGGAATCGAAGGGAACAGCGTTGCCAAAAGCGCTTGTGACCGCTGCGCGCAGTGGCCCGGGACTGCCTCCGCTAGGCGTGTGCAGACCTGCTTCTGCCACACTTGGCATCAAACCAGGCAGCTGCCTCCCCACCCACTTCCTGGAGCCATCCAGCTTGCTTCCCCCCACCCTTCCGGGCTTCTTGCCTTATGCCTCATAGGTAGAGATTTGGGCTCCAGCCCTGTTTGCAGACGAATCTGTGCCTTACCTAAAATCTGGAAAGTCACGACTTTCTTCTGCCTGCAAGTAGACACAGTTTTGAGTGCTTATAACAACTGACACTCTGCTCGAGGACTGTAAATTTCAACTCCATTGCCTGACGTTGCTTGGGTCAGTTTTTCTGTAAACAAGGCAGCATAATTGCTGTTTCGCAGAAGATTTTGAGAAGGAGATGGGCGGACTGTACTAAATTGATCATGGCAACAGGAGGGGGAGAATTTGCATATTGCCTCTGGAGCCCACACTGTCTTGTTTGCATACTTGGATCTCTCTCAGTGGAAAACTCTTTTCCCTTCTGCCCACTTTGACCTCAAGATTGTTTTCAGTGCTAGAAATTACTCCCCCCCCCCCCCCCCCCCCCCCCCCCCCCCCCCCCCCCCGTCAATTCCTTCCCTTAGCAAAACTTGCCTTGAAGGAATCTAACAAACAGGGGGAATCTTGGATGTAAATAAATCCGGAAACTTAAAACGCTGTCACCCCAGGAGAACTTGATTTTGCAGTTCCACAAGACTCGGTCTAAAGCCCAAGGGATGGATTTTCTTTTCTGTGGAAAGTCAAGCGCCTATAACCCTAATTGAGGTGTTAATTAGGGGAGAGGGGATGGCTTTCGGATATCCCTGAAACTATATCCGTGATTGCTTGCTTCCTCTTAAGGCTGACCTCACACTGTGGAGACAGTAATGCTGATAATGATAGCTACGGTTGGGCTCTTGCCTTACTGTGTTTATTGCTTTAAGAATTGCCTGAGATTTCTTCTTGTCTACTGAACAGGTGAAGCTACATGGAAAACTCTTTTCAGCTATTAATTCTAGGCCTTTTTCTTTTTCTCTTAAGCTGGCATTGGATGCTCATGGGAGGTTATTAGCATATGCACATAATTCATGCCCGAAAGTCCTACAGTTACAATAGGAGTATTTTCTAGAGTTCTCCACTGAACATCCTGCAAAGCCCGGATGACATGTGGCCTGTACCTGGCATGAATATAAAAATGTTATAAGTTAAATCTCAGTTTCCCAAAAGCTCTTTAGGACTCATGGGGAAATTATACCTTCACTGGTCTTTCTGCCAATGGGATCCACATTTAACCATTCTTTTGTTGTTGTTGTTGCTTTTGTGTGTGTTGGGTGTGCCTGGAATCTTGTAGTTAATTGGCTTTAAGCCAGTTTGTTTAAGTTTGATACCTCAGACCCTGGACATCCCCTTGTTCCAGCCTTTTTTTTTTTTTTTTTTTTTTAAGTACAAGGATGCTGTGTCTTGTTTTTTATTTTTAAGTTTTCAAAAAAACCCAAAAAGTCCTGAAATAGAACCTAAGTACTTATAGTATTTACATTTTTGAGAATTGCATCTTGTAAACATAGATGGTGTCCTTTGGGCTTTGCCGTAAGAGACCTGGTTACAGATTCTGGCTTCGTGGCTCAATCATGTTGTTACCTTTCTGTTCTTAACCAGAGCTCCTTCATCTCTAAAATGAGGATAATTGTGGTATTTATCTTATATAGAATGTTATCGGAGCTTCATAAGATGATGTCTGAAAAGTGCTCACACAATATCTGACACAAAAGGAAGTGTTAAAAAAAAACATAAGGTATTTTGATATTGGAAATAGTATTTACTGAATAAATGTTTTATATGTGCTTTAGTATGGAATTCTGTAAATAGCCCTCTTTTGTACTTCAGTCAATTAGTAAAGAAGACAGGGATAGAGGCTTCCCTGGGATACCTGCTCTCTCCTTCTCTTTCTTTGATGAGTATAAAGAGCTTACATTCTAGGATGTTTGGGGGGAATTTGACTTAGCAAAAAGACTCACTAGGAGGTCTCTCCATCTTACCCTGGGCAAACAGAGTAAGGAATTCCCTTGCTTTCTATGTTAGAGACCTCTGATGATTTGCTGACACTCTAAAAGCAACTCAGGATGATAAACTCCGTTCGTTGTCCCCAGTCGAAGGCCTTTAAAAAACTCTTTATGTTTTCGTCTTCATTTTGGGGGAGGTGAGAAAATTAACAATTGAAGCTTGGAGCTAAATATAATTCATGGAAATCAGTAAGTCTATTCCATCACCAAGCGTTTAATGTCTTTTGTATCTTGAGAATTATGCTATGCTCTGGGAGAAATGAAAGAGAAGTTGGCTGAAAATGTAAAGTCTGGCTGGGAGATAAGTATTATGTAATACATGATGACGTCGGACTAAATCCAAAGATGTGGTTCATGCACAGAGAGGGAAGAGATCATGGTGGAGTGTGGAATGCTTGGAACATATTTCAAAGAGGAGATGGGGCTTGAGGGAGACAACGAGATGGATGGGCATGGCTTTCATTAGAGAAGGGACAGCTTAACGTGGAGGTTTTGGGGTGTCTACACACTTGGTGTGTTAGCGTGACCGGTACAGTTTTCTAGCTGTGTTTATGTAGAGACAAGCTCCTACCCTTTGACTTCTCCTCCAACCACTGTATAGTTCTCCTAGCATTCATTTTTTTTCATGATGTTAATTCCTAGATGTTTTTAAAGTTAATTGGGTTACCTAATTAAAATGTCTATAGCTGAAACGATACTACCTTAGACAGATAAAATAACATTTACCCACATTCCCATTGTATTCTGAAAACAGATTAATTAGACTGAGGTAAAAAAAAAAAATACAGTGGGAAAAATAACATGCAGTAATCACCTGTTTCCCTGGGACTTTGGTTTGGTAAACTGTTTCCAACATGTAATTTTGGTCATTTTCTCTGATCAAGAAGTTAGTTTATCAATGAAAAAAGCATCGAGAACATTCTGTATTTCTAGACTTGGTGAGTTACCCATCACGTGTAAATTCTTTCACAGCAATAATCTTCTAATGGCGATAAAACCAATTTTAACCACTCGCATTGAGGGAAGAATAGAAAATGTGAGCCCCTACTTTGTGCGAGGCATTCCGTAAAGTCCTACCTGGCCTGGGCATGACTCTTTGGCCTAATCTACCACCACTGCTCACATGAACACTGTGACTGAATGGAGTCCAACCAATATGTGCTTACTGGTGACAGATAAATGTGGCGGCAAAACACCAATAAGTGGAAGCCCCAGAGCACGTGCTGTTTGGCCAGTGAACTGATTCCTCTTTGCCTGTGGACCTATGGTCAATGCCACTCTCTCTGCCCTGACCCTCCGTCCCTCCCTTCTTCCCCCTTGTGTTTTTGATTAGCCTGTGCTCCTTGTTCAAGACTCAGGTCAAATCTCTCTCTCTCTGACTCCTCTCCCAAACTGGGTTTTGCTGTTTTCCCAAAGCAGCTGGTATGCACGAGTATCATAATTATGTTGTTATTTCTTGATCTCTGCATTCACCTTGAGGGCGAGTTTTGTTTCTTGCATAATCCACGTGTTCTGAGCTTGGCACAGAATATGTAGTCCATACATGCTGGATGTCCTCATTATTCTCTGAATAAATCAGCTGACACGGAGCGAGTTTTGTGCCTGTTAAAATACAGATTTCTAGGTCCCCACACCAGATCTACTGAATCAAAATCTCTGGGACTGGGGCCCAGGAATCTGGACTTTTAACAGGTTTACCATATGCTGATGATGTACATTAAAATGTTTATCTGTTTGATGAGGAAACGATTGTGACTGTAGTCACTCCATACGGGTTAGCAATCCTTGCCCTACACAGGTGTTAGGAGATACTTTTCAGGGGTGTGCTGGAGCTGGCTTCACAGGATTGAGACAGCAATTTGTGCACCACTGTTAAATATAGTGGTTATTAAAAATTAAATTATGCAAACCTAAAATTAATGCATTATATTTTAAAACAAAGACGTACTCAAAAGTTGTCACTTCATAATTGTTTTACTACATTTCACTGTTTTCTCTACTCTTTCATGACATCTATCTCTATCTTTTTAATCCGTGTGGTGAAAATACGCAATCCTGTGCTACCCACTCATCTCTTCAGTCCTATTCAGTGACGTCACATCGGTAGATTGAAGTTGGCCATGGCGAATATTTACACTAGGGAAACTGGCAAATACTGATGATCAGGGCTTGATTTATTATTTTGTTGTCTGCACTGAAGATCTTCTTTGGGAATCAATTGTTCCTATGGAATTTAAGTAAAATTATTATTATTATTATCTAGAAGTTGTATGCTCAGCTATACATACTATATGTCAGTAAGTTTATAACAAATTATATCAATACACATGCATACACATCTATGCGTCTGGTTTTTGGTGTGTTTTTTGTGTTTTTTTGTTTTTTATGGGTTTTTTGGAGAGCCCGTTATTAAACATACATTGCTTACATACACATAACTGTTCATGGGCCTTTAGTAAAAGATTATACAAAGGAAAGTTTGCTGCTGTTGGACTGTCACTATTAGAAATGACAGTGTCCAGTTCAGCACTGTTGTGGGCTCACTTCTCTGCTTGGAATAAG